AGCCTATTTGGGAGAACGGCAATGTCTTGTATCTTCGTGGTAAAACTATTGTAGATCGCCGATGTGCGGTAACGGGTAACACTTCGCCCACTTCCCCCACTCTTGTGGGTGGGCCTTAATTCTAGTTGCCCTTAATGGCTTTCTTTCCGTTTCCTTCTGGCGTCTTCTCTGCTCTCTGTCGACGATCTTGCCCTTTGCTGTTGGGGTGATGATTCGCATCTCCTTCAACGCCGGCGTCAACTTGCGATTGATGCCGTGTCATCTTGGGCCACCGATCATGGCTTCAGGTTCTCTACGTCATAAGACTTGTGCTATGACTTTTACTCGGAAGCATGTCGTTCTTTGTCGCTTTATGGTCACCCCATTGTGTACAAGGATTCCGCTAAGCTTTTGGGATTGATTTTTGACACTCGTTTGTCTTGGTCGCCCCATATCTTGCCTCCGAGTTGAATGCTCTAAGGCCTTTACCCTCCTTCAGGTGTTGTCCCATACCTCTTTCGGAGCGGATAGGCGCGCACTCCTCACTTTACATTCTTTTCTCGTCCTGTATACACTCGATTACGGTTGCCCTGCTTACTCGTCTGCTCCTCCTCCTACTCTTTGCGGTCTTGATGCTTTGCACCATACTGGGTTGCGCTTCAGTTCTGGTGCCTTTCGTTCAACTCCTGTCCTCGGCTTGTATGTTGACACTGGCGTCATATCTCTCCAGGACCGCTACTGTCTTCACTATCTTGCGCGGTCCTTGCAACATCCTTCCTCTCACCTCTGTCATGCTTTAACTTTTACACCTCCTGTTGTTCCTCTGTTGTTCCTGTTCCTCTTCACCACCACCCTCTTTCTGTCCGGTTATCTCTCTTACAGGATTCTCTTTCAGTTCGTATTTCTAATATTTCTCCTCGTGTTCCTTTTTTGCCCACCGTGGAGTCCCCCCCTTCCACAGTTTTGTACATCCTTAACCCGCATCACTAAAGCATTTACGTCTCCTACGGTTCCGAAACGCTTTTTCCTTTAGCAAATTTCTTCACTCTCTCGCTCCGTTTCCATCTTCACCGATGAGTCTAAGTCTGCGGATGGTGTAGGCTACTATGTTGTTTTTCCTGACAGCACTTGTCGCTTATCTCCGGAGACTAGCACCTTCACAGCGGTACTTTATGCTATTCTCTATGCTCTTGTCTCTTGCTTTCTCATTGTCAATCTTCCTCTTGTAGTTGTCGTTGATTCGTAGTGCCCTCATGGCTCTTGGGTCCTTTAATCCGGTTCATCCAGTGGTTGTCGAGATACAGCATTGGCTGTTTCTTATTCACAGTAAATTCAAGTCAGTTGAGTTTTGCTGGGTTCCCAGCCATATTGGTGTCTTTAAATGAGTGCGGATGCTGCTGTTAGGGAAGCTATCCGCTCTTGTCCCATCTCTCATATAGGTATTTCTTGTTCCAACTATTACCGTTATTCATTCCTCCTTCCTTATTCATTGGCAGGCTTGTTGGTCTTCTGTTACTGGTAACAAACTGTGTACTCTTAAGAGTTGTGTGTCCTCGTGGCCATCCTCCTACCACCGTAACCAGCGATGGGGAAACGGCTCTGGTGAGGTTGCGTATTGGCCATACTCGCTTAACTCATGGTCACTTAATGTACCCTGCTCCTTATTGTCCAAATTGCATTGTCCCTCTTACAGTTGTGCATATCCTTGTTGAATGTCCTGATTTCCGGGATGAGCGTATGTCTTGTTTTCCGGCCATCCCCTGCGGTCGCTTATCACTTGATAGAATTATTGGCGAATCTGATACTTTTGATTTCGTTCGCCTTGTGCATTTCTGTTCTCATATTGGCATCCTTGGTGATATTTAGTACCCTCTGATTATTCTGCACACTTGGTGCTACATAGCCTTCCCGGTTTGATGCCTTCTTTTGATAATTACTTACTTCTCTGAAAGGCTTGTGGGGGTGGGTGACCATGCACCAAGTTGGTGATGGAAGAAGGGAATCCATAGCTCCAGTTACTTTGGGTCCAGACCAACCTCCTTTGGCTGACCCAACTGATTTTTCACTATTCCCTTCCCACTACATTGGCAGGGTTGAACCCCAGTGTTGCCTCCAGTGTTGACTACGTTGTCACATGCAGCGGGTCCATCTTTCGTTGGGGCTACTGTACCATTTAGCCCCCCCACCCTCCTTAACCCTTTGGTGGTACAGCTAATAGCTGACTTAAGACTGTGCACAAGGAAAAAAACCTTCTAATATTTGCGTATTCCTTTTAATATTGCTTATTCCCTGAAGTAAAAAAAAAAAAGTGACATATTTTGGCCATGATAGGGCGAGAAAGTCTGGCAGGATAAGTGCTGGCGTGATACTTGCTCCGGAATGGCCTGCTAGAGTTTTTGCCGTTATTTACACTATTGTATATACACACACGACACACCCACACCCACTTAAGCTGGTATTGTGTGTCCACAGAGCCGAGCGGCCACCACACAGTCAGCTGACAGTGCCACCTCACAGTGCCACCTCACTCATGATTCCTCCTCCCACCATACTATACACATTGCTAATTCTCACCACAATGCTGCTATTATCAGAATCCTGATCACTAAATCCTATAAATGAATAATTTTCCACAATTTACTTTGTAATAGAACATGAAGACTTGTTTCAAGGTGCTTAGATGCCCCAAACAATGGCAGTGTGCTGTCAACATATTGAACAGCATTGGGTTCACTGATATCTGAACATTGTACACAGTCTATCACAGTCAGGCTCTTCTATCTCGAAGATCATCTTGATATCATGACTATCATCACAAAATAATAGCAGTTGGATATATTTTTACATTTTTAAGCGATGCTGTGATCACAAACTAAACAGCAGTGCTGTTAGCTCGTGTTCCAGCCTCGGTTGCTCACTCGGTACTGAGGTCTTCACATCCGGGAATGGTGACCATTTTTTAATCACCCTTGGACAGTGGTGGTCATCATATTGTGATTTAAACAAGTATTGTTTGGGTTTTACATGTATGATGTAAATAAGGATATAATAGATCTTTGTGGATGTAATGGAGTTTACCTTGATTCCCTGCTCACATAGTTACTAGTAAATTGTTATTCATTAGTTACTAGACGATTACGGTTACTATCATCATATGGCAATTATCATGTGGGTGCACATTGGTGGCTTATGCATTTGTCTTAATCAATACTCTTGGTCATAAGGTGCTAATTAGGTCATATGTCATTGCCCAGAGCCCAACCTCATTGAATATTATGTTCATATCTTTTTCAGCACTCCTTTCGTTCTTTCCCCTATTGCATTTTGTTCATCCCTTACCCTGAGCCTGCATGTTAAAACCTCTACGGCCTGTCTCTCCAAGATTGTCCTGTGTTACCGTCTTTGCTACCTTGCACGGTCCCTACAATACTCGCTTATGTTGTACTTTGAACATTGCCCCTCCTGTAAGCCCTGTTTCCTTTCATCCTTTTTCTGTACGGTTGTTTCACTTGCAAGACAACCTTGATTCTCTCCCACTTCTGAAGTTTGGCAAAATCTTGACCCACAATGCAAAGGCTTCTACTACTACTACTACTGAAGTTCTGAAACTCCTTTTCTTTGCACACTTTTCTTCACTCCCCCGCTCTGTTGCTGTCTTCACACATAGGTCTACACACAACTGAGTAACCTACACCTACAGATGGTGTAGGTTACTCAGTTTTATTTCCTGGCCACACCTATATGTACTGCCAGCCTCCAGAGACTAGCATTTTCATGGCTGAACTTCATGCCAATTTGTTTGTTCTTTGTCAGCTGCTTTGTCAACATTCATTTGTCATTGTAATTGACTTGCAGTGCCCCTCATGGCTCTAGAGTCGTTTAATCATATTCACCTTGTGGTAGTCAAAATTCGATATGGGTTGTTTTAAATCTCCAGCAGATTTTAGACAGTTGAGTTTTGCTGGGTTCCCAGCCATCTTGGTGTTTCCCTAAATGTGTGTGGACACTGCTGTTAGGGAGGATATCCACACTTGTTCTATGTCGAGCATTATTCCAACTTCTACCCAGTCAGTCATTCCTTAATTTATGCCCATTGGCAGAGTTATTGGTCTTATGTTTCTGATAACAAACTGAATGCTCTAAATGGTAGCGCGTCCCCTTAGCCTTCCTACCACCTTAACCAGCGATGGGAAACGGCTCTGGCGAGGTTATGTATTGACCATACACATTTAACTCGCTTAATGGAGTGCCATCCTGCTCCCTATTGTCCAAACTGCATTGTCCCTCTTGCGGTCGTGCATATCCTCGTTGAATGTCCGGACTTCTAGGACGTGTATCTTGCTTCCCGACTGTCCCTTAGTCACCTGTCCCTCTATAGAATCCTTGGTGAATCAGATACCTTTGATATCGCTCTCCTTGTGTTCGTGTGTTCTTGTATTGGCATCTTTAGTGATATGTAGCGCCTTTTGAACATTGTACAACTTTGATGGTGCTACAGTGTCTTCTTAGCTTGATGTCTTATTTTGATAATTACTTTTGACAGTTACACAGTTATTTGTATTTTGTTAATCTGGTTGTTTTCAAAGGAAAATAAATATTCAAAACTCACCGTTATTGTAAGATTTTCTCATGACTAAAATGATAAGTTGACCAATTTCTTTCAAATAAAGCTAAAACTGTAGACTTTAAAATGGCAATACAGTACATACAAAACTAAAAAAAAATTACTTTAAATTAACTTAATGGTAAGTCTTCCAATGTCTTTTTGGGCTGTCTGAAGGAGTTACATAATTGATATCAATGTACTGTGCAGTACATACAAAGTTTTTAAATTAGTGATGGAAAGTAGTTGAATCACGGCTAAAATTGAAATTTTTGAGTTTAGGGAATACTCGATACAGTACTTGTAAAACAGTTTAATAATTGTTTGTTTGATTAATGTTTTGCTATCCTTATGTAATGAATCTGATGCTGTTGAAGTTACATGAAAGTTGTAATATATGGACTATTTTTACTTTCAGGGTTGACTTTCACCGAGAAGTGGAACACAGACAATACTCTGAACACAGAAGTGGCACTGGAAGACAAGGTAGCCAAGGGCCTCAAGCTTGTCCTCAACACCACCTTTGCTCCCCAGACTGGGAAGAAGTCTGGAGTGCTTAAGTCTACATACAAGACTGATGCATTGTCAGTTAATCTAGATTCCACATTAGATCTTGGTGGTCCAGTTGTGAATGGTGCTGCTGTGGGTAGCTACAAGAATTGGCTGGTTGGTTATCAGATGTCTTTTGATACTGCCAAATCCAAGCTTACAAAGAATAACTTCACTGTTGGGTTCACAAACCCAGACTTCATACTTCACACGTACGCTAACGATGGAGCCGAGTTTGGCGGTTCCCTCTTCCACAAGATTCATCCCGAATTGGAGGGTGCCGTCGACCTGGCTTGGTCTGCTGGATCTAACACCACGCGCTTCTCCATTGGCTGCAAGTACTCCCTGGACAAGGATGCTGCTGTGCGAGCTAAAGTTAACAACAATTCACAGATTGGCTTAGGGTATCAACAGAAGGTGCGCGATGGCATCACACTCACACTCTCCACACTCATCGACGGAAAGAACTTCAACCAGGGCGGGCACAAAGTTGGTCTATCCATGGATCTGGAGGCCTAACTTGTCAAGGTTGTATATGTTGGGGTTATGTGACCATTATATGCCGAGTATTCCTGGAGAGGGTTGAGAGCCATGGGGACTAGGCTCCTGTGGGGTGAACTGTTGATGAGGGCAGCTACCTCTGCCCTATTTCAGCGGGAAAGTGTCCTCGTATGCCAAGTCCTAGATTCCAGTAGTGTAAATGAGTGCTGTACATTAAACATTGACCTGACCCACTGTACATTATTAAAGATTTTTATCTTCATGGGGTGGCAACTTCAACAAGTTGAGTTGGGGCTCATTTTTGCAGCTGTGAAGTTGATTGTCTCAATGAAATGTCCTTAATAAAATTTAAATGGTCTTGACACTTTTTCTTTTTACCATATTCCATCAGTCCTAGTTTAAGTACATGATTATTCTAAAGAATCCATTCCTAGCTGTTGAAAATATCTTGATTCCTCGGAATCATTCATTAGTATGTGTCGCACTTTTATCAGTGATTTGTGTAGATAAGTGGCAGTGTACAGTGGAAGCAACGTTCTTCTGTATTAATAATGGGGCATAGCATGCATGCAGTCAATAGGTTCATTAGTCATTCTCATCCTAATTTTGTGATCAGCTTTGTGCCCTTTTTCTAGTCCGGTGAAAGATTCCCCATTACAGTGTCCCATTTTGTAGAATTGTTTTTGGGTTGGTATTAACGTTTGTATACAAACTGTGCAAGCACTAAATTCTTGTACTGGCTTTGTTACCAAGTAATAATTACCTTAAATTATTTAACATAAAACAATGCTTTTAAGTATTAAATATTTAACAAAATTGAATATACTTGTTTTGTTTGAGCACTTGGAGTAATTTTGCCGTAATATCGTGACTAGCCCGGTTTCCTATACTGTGTAATGTTATATACTGAATAGTTCATTTATTTGCAACTTGATGAATGTGCAAATGTGTCGACTAAGTCTTGACGACAATGTTCCTTTAGTGTTAATTTTGTCAAAATTGATGGAAGGTACGTAGAAATTAAAAAACATCTGTCTCGTGTGTGAATGTTGTACAGCAATTGATTTCCTAATTTCGTTTTTCATTCTTTATTTTTTAATTCATCCTGTTTTCTGTGTAAAAATTGCTAATTCCATTTCCCCGTCCTGCAGCTTACGTCAACCGCACTGACATGTATATGTGGCCTCTTCTCTTGTACCTTCAATAAACTTGCCAGAATTGATGCCACTGTTTTTCTCCTGATGTCATCAGCTGTCCACAATATAACCCTTTGATGTTATCACCTGTGTGAGAGATGTTATCCTGGCTAGTGTCTCCTGTGTGATGTTATCCTGGTTAGTGTCTCCTGTGTGATGTTATCCTGGTTAGTGTCTCCTGTGTGATGTTATCCTGGTTAGTGTTTCCTGTGTGTGATGTTATCCTGGTTAGTGTCTCCTGTGTGATGTTATCCTGGTTAGTGTCTCCTGTGTGTGATGTTATCCTGGTTAGTGTGTCCTGTGTGTGATGTTATCCTGGTTAATGTCTCCTGTGTGATGTTATCCTGGTTAGTGTCTCCTGTGTGATGTTATCCTGGTTAGTGTTTCCTGTGTGATGTTATCCTGGCTAGTGTCTCCTGTGTGTGATGTTATCCTGGTTAGTGTCTCCTGTGTGATGTTATCCTGGTTAGTGTGTCCTGTGTGTGATGTTATCCTGGTTAATGTCTCCTGTGTGTGATGTTATCCTGGTTAGTGTCACCTGTGTGTGATGTTATCCTGGTTAATGTCTCCTGTGTGTGATGTTATCCTGGTTAGTGTCTCCTGTGTGATGTTATCCTGGTTAGTGTGTCCTGTGTGTGATGTTATCCTGGTTAGTGTGTCCTGTGTGATGTTATCCTGGTTAGTGTCTCCTGTGTGTGATGTTATCCTGGGTAGTGTCTCCTGTGTGTGATGTTATCCAGGTTAGTGTCTCCTGTGTGATGTTATCCTGGTTAGTGTCTCCTGTGTGATGTTATCCTGGTTAGTGTCACCTGTGTGATGTTATCCTGAGTAGTGTCACCTGTGTGATGTTATCCTGGTTAGTGTCACCTGTGTGTGATGTTATCCTGGTTAGTGTCTCCTGTGTGTGATGTTATCCTGGTTAGTGTCTCCTGTGTGTGATGTTATCCTGGTTAGTGTCACCTATGTGTGATGTTATCCTGGGTAGTGTCACCTGTGTGTGATGTTATCCTGGGTAGTGTCACCTGTGTGATGTTATCCTGGTTAGTGTCTCCTATGTGTGATGTTATCCTGGTTAGTGTCTCAGTGTGTGATGTTATCCTGGTTAGTGTCTCCTGTGTGTGATGTTATCCTAGCTAGTGTCTCCTGTGTGATGTTATCCTGGTTAGTGTCTCCTGTGTGTGATGTTATCCTGGTTAGTGTCTCCTGTGTGTGATGTTATCCTGGTTAGTGTCTCCTGTGTGTGATGTTATCCTGGTTAGTGTCTCCTGTGTGTGATGTTATCCTGGGTAGTGTCTCCTGTGTGTGATGTTATCCTGGTTAGTGTCACCTGTGTGTGATGTTATCCTGGTTAGTGTCACCTGTGTGATGTTATCCTGGTTAGTGTCTCCTGTGTGTGATGTTATCCTGGTTAGTGTCTCCTGTGTGTGATGTTATCCTGGTTAGTGTCTCCTGTGTGTGATGTTATCCTGGTTAGTGTCTCCTGTGTGTGATGTTATCCTGGTTAGTGTCACCTGTGTGATGTTATCCTGGTTAGTGTCACCTGTGTGATGTTATCCTGGTTAGTGTCTCCTGTGTGTGATGTTATCCTGGTTAGTGTCTCCTGTGTGTGATGTTATCCTGGTTAGTGTCTCCTGTGTGTGATGTTATCCTGGTTAGTGTCACCTGTGTGATGTTATCTTGGTTAGTGTCACCTGTGTGATGTTATCCTGGTTAGTGTCTCCTGTGTGTGATGATATCCTGGTTAGTGTCTCCTGTGTGTGATGTTATCCTGGTTAGTGTCTCCTGTGTGATGTTATCCTGGTTAGTGTCTCCTGTGTGTGATGTTATCCTGGTTAGTGTCACCTGTGTGATGTTATCCTGGTTAGTGTCTCCTGTGTGATGTTATCCTGGTTAGTGTTTCCTGTGTGTGATGTTATCCTGGTTAGTGTCTCCTGTGTGATGTTATCCTGGTTAGTGTCTCCTGTGTGTGATGTTATCCTGGTTAGTGTCTCCTGTGTGTGATGTTATCCTGGTTAATGTCTCCTGTGTGATGTTATCCTGGTTAGTGTCTCCTGTGTGATGTTATCCTGGTTAGTGTTTCCTGTGTGATGTTATCCTGGCTAGTGTCTCCTGTGTGTGATGTTATCCTGGTTAGTGTCTCCTGTGTGATGTTATCCTGGTTAGTGTGTCCTGTGTGTGATGTTATCCTGGTTAGTGTCTCCTGTGTGTGATGTTATCCTGGTTAGTGTCACCTGTGTGTGATGTTATCCTGGTTAATGTCTCCTGTGTGTGATGTTATCCTGGTTAGTGTCTCCTGTGTGATGTTATCCTGGTTAGTGTGTCCTGTGTGTGATGTTATCCTGGTTAGTGTCCCTCCTGTGTGATGTTATCCTGGTTAGTGTCTCCTGTGTGTGATGTTATCCTGGTTAGTGTCTCCTGTGTGTGATGTTATCCTGGTTAGTGTCTCCTGTGTGATGTTATCCTGGTTAGTGTCTTCTGTGTGATGTTATCCTGGTTAGTGTCACCTGTGTGTGATGTTATCCTGAGTAGTGTCACCTGTGTGATGTTATCCTGGTTAGTGTCTCCTGTGTGATGTTATCCTGGTTAGTGTCTCCTGTGTGTGATGTTATCCTGGTTAGTGTCTCCTGTGTGTGATGTTATCCTGGTTAGTGTCACCTGTGTGTGATGTTATCCTGGTTAGTGTCATGTTATCCTGTGTGTGTGTGTGATGTTATCCTGGTTAGTGTCACCTGTGTGATGTTATCCTGGTTAGTGTCTCCTGTGTGTGATGTTATCCTGGTTAGTGTCTCAGTGTGTGATGTTATCCTGGTTAGTGTCTCCTGTGTGTGATGTTATCCTGGTTAGTGTCTCCTGTGTGATGTTATCCTGGTTGTCTCCTGTGTGTGAGTGTCTCCTGTGTGTGATGTTATCCTGGTTAGTGTCTCCTGTGTGTGATGTTATCCTGGTTAGTGTCTCCTGTGTGTGATGTTATCCTGGTTAGTGTCTCCTGTGTGTGATGTTATCCTGGTGTGATAGTGTCTCCTGTGTGTGATGTTATCCTGGTTAGTGTCACCTGTGTGTGATGTTATCCTGGTTAGTGTCACCTGTGTGATGTTATCCTGGTTAGTGTCTCCTGTGTGTGATGTTATCCTGGTTAGTGTCTCCTGTGTGTGATGTTATCCTGGTTAGTGTCTCCTGTGTGTGATGTTATCCTGGTTAGTGTCTCCTGTGTGTGATGTTATCCTGGTTAGTGTCACCTGTGTGATGTTATCCTGGTTAGTGTCACCTGTGTGATGTTATCCTGGTTAGTGTCTCCTGTGTGTGATGTTATCCTGGTTAGTGTCTCCTGTGTGTGATGTTATCCTGGTTAGTGTCTCCTGTGTGTGATGTTATCCTGGTTAGTGTCACCTGTGTGATGTTATCTTGGTTAGTGTCACCTGTGTGATGTTATCCTGGTTAGTGTCTCCTGTGTGTGATGTTATCCTGGTTAGTGTCTCCTGTGTGTGATGTTATCCTGGTTAGTGTCTCCTGTGTGATGTTATCCTGGTTAGTGTCTCCTGTGTGTGATGTTATCCTGGTTAGTGTCACCTGTGTGATGTTATCCTGGTTAGTGTCTCCTGTGTGTGATGTTATCCTGGTTAGTGTCTCCTGTGTGTGATGTTATCCTGGTTAGTGTCTCCTGTGTGATGTTATCCTGGTTAGTGTCTCCTGTGTGATGTTATCCTGGTTAGTGTCTCCTGTGTGTGATGTTATCCTGGGTAGTGTCTCCTGTGTGATGTTATCCTGGTTAGTGTCTCCTGTGTGTGATGTTATCCTGGTTAGTGTCTCCTGTGTATACATATAATATCCACTGCTATATGTGACTGTGTTCCTATAAGGCTTTGCAAGCCTGCTTGATATTGCTTTGGTTCCTGCTTTTATAATCCACTTGTATGACACAGCACATACTTAGAAATGTGTTATTACTTTAAATTTCAATACAGCCATTTTTGTTATTTTTTTAGTAATTTGTGTGTTCTTCGTGCAGTCTCATGCTTAGGCCTTAAAGAAAATTATAATTATTTTCAGTCGGGTGCCAGAAAGGACACATTAGCATTCTTCATAAGGTGACGCAGGAGTATGGACAGACTGCTCAAAAGCAGCACAGGGGCCAGATTCACGAAGCAGTTACGCTAGCACTTACGAACGTGTACATCTTTCCTCAATCTTTGACGGCTTTGGTTACATTTATTAAACAGTTTACAAGCATGAAAACTTCCCAATCAACTGTTGTTATTGTTATAAACATCCTCCTGGTGCTTCGGAGCTCATTAACTGTTTATTAATTGTAAACAAAGCCGCCAAAGATTGAGAAAAGATGTACAGGTTCGTAAGTGTTTCCGTAACTACTTCGTGAATCTAGCCCCGGGCCTCCCTATATCCACATCACAACGGCATAATGTACAAAATGCACGAAAGTCACCTTTTCTGCTTTTAGCAGTGAATCTAAATTCTATAGCGTCTTGGTGGATACACGTAGATATTTCTTTAGGCGTTTAAAGCAACAAATACTGTCTACCACACCACAGACTGACCGTCTCTGACCAGCCCGTTCTTAGATTTCCCAATGGTATGAAACTGTCGTATTAAAGTACCCTTATCCTAACCTACCAGAGGAACCAAAACAGAAAACTAGACAGTCTGTCAATTTCGCGACCCCTCTACCATTTTCTAATACGACAATTTTTGGCCTTTTGTAAAGTATACCTAAGTGGAAGCCGCCGGCTTCCTGTCCTCGTGGAGGCCACTAGTGTCAGTGGCTCTCAGGTAAACTCTGGTATACGTCAAAATGCGACGTTTTATTACGTTGGTCTGACTCCGTACTCTCAGTGCTGCCAACGACGACTACATAAACGTATATACCAATTATTATTGGTAATTGTGGCCTGCAGTTCACTAACTTGCCGCTGTTTAGTTTAGATAAAGCAACTTATGTGTGAATCTTTGTAGCTGTGCTTTTAGTATTGAGTGCACAAACTAGCATTCTTCATATGAGCACTGGTGCACA